TTTGCTCTCTCTGTACATTGCTTCGCTACTCTCTTAACTTCTCTTTTTCTCTCCATATACTCCTCACTCCTTGCATCGCTTCTACTTTGCAAAAACCTCTCACATGCTAACTTTTTCTCTCTTACTACTCTATTTACATCATTCCACCAGTCGCTCTTCTTCCCTCCCACACCCACTTTCCTGTAAGAACAAACTTCTGCTGAACACTCTTAACACTACATTGTTAAACCTACCCCATACATCCTCAACCCCATTGCTTATACTCTCACTTGCCCATCTCTCCTCCAACAGTTGTTTATTTATATATACATGTATATAATATATATACTATATACATTTCTGGGTGTTTTAGCATGATGTTAAGATGTTAGGTTGGTGCTACTGTAGACACGACCTCATAATTCTTGTCAGCTGGATAGTTTCCCTTAATATTTTAAATTATATTTCTATTCTTTTTTTAATTTTGTATTTAAAATAATCTGGAGAAAAGTTGTTGTTCATTATGTTATTAAGCAAGTGTAGTGTAATATTGTTAGTTATGATACAGAACAAACCAAAATAATCTGAATGACAGGTCATGCTTAACATATTGAGTAAACTGTATGAAGAAATACTGTAAACACTACATTAAAAGTACACTTTGTTTCAGTATAATTTTATTGCTACTTTGTTATTTATATACATATATTTTACTATTAGATACTTGATTTCTCGCTATGTATAATTTTAATACAATATATTGTATTATGTTGTCACTGTTGATACTCAAGTTCCTCATGCAAATGTGAGAGACAGAGGGAGGGAGGGGTAGAGGTTATGAGAGATTGTGTGACAGAATGGGAGAGAGGTATAGATGAATAACTTATTTGTAATAAATGAACTGTGTTTGTGGTCTGCCATCTTCATTGTGTAGTTATTTATACCTGGAGATAACACAAATTACTTTAAAATATGTTCATCCATAGCTTGTAGTGAATGGTGAATATATTTATTGTAGGAAGTCTGAATACATGAGTAATGGAGTATAATTGAAAACCACTTCATTAGCAAAATGCTGTAAAGTGAAACTCTGTAAAGTGGGGCCTGCCTGTCTTCTTCCTACATCTTTATATCCCCCCCCCCTTGCAGTTTTTTATAGTGTGTGGAATTAAATGTATGAGTTTACAGGAAAGAGGTGGTAGTTATAACATGGTTGTAGCTACAGTAACATTAGTGTTGTTGTGTAGTGAGTCATGTAGTAGTTATAACCTGGTTGTAGCTACAGTAACATTGGTGTTGTGTAGTGAGTTATGTAGTTACAACCTGGTTGTTGCTACAGTAACATTGGTGTTGTTGTGTAGTGAGTTATGTAGTAATTACAACCTGGTTGACACTCCAGTAACATTGGTGGTGTTGTGTATTGAGTTATGTAGTAGTTACAACCTGGTTGTTGCTACAGTAACATTGATGTTATTGTGTAGTGAGTTATGCAGTAGTTACAACCTGGTTGTTGCTACAGTAACATTGATGTTATTGTGTAGTGAGTTATGCAGTAGTTACAACCTGGTTGTTGCTACAGTAACATTGGTGTTGTTGTGTAGTGAGTTATGTAGTAGTTACAACCTGGTTGTTGCTACAGTAACATTGTTGTTGTTGTATAGTGAGTTATGTAGTAGTTACAACCTGGTTGTTGCTACAGTAACATTGGTGTTGTTGTGTAGTAAGTTATGTAGTAGTTACAACCTGGTTGATGCTACAGTAACATTGGTGGTGTTGTGTAGTGAGTTATGTAGTAGTTATAACCTGGTTAAGATAAGATTTCATTCGGATTTTAACCCCGGAGGGTTAGCCACCCAGGATAACCCAAGAAAGTAAGTGCGTTATCAAGGACTGTCTAACTTATTTCCATTGGGGTCCTTAATCTTGTCCCCCAGGATGCGACCCACACCAGTCGACTTTCACCCAGGTACCTATTTGCTGCTAGGTGAACAGGACAACAGGTGTAAGGAAATGTGCCGAAATGTTTCCACCCGCCGGGAATCGAACCCAGGCCCTCCCTGTGTGAAGCAGGAGCTTTAGCGACCAGGCCACCGAGCCACGATGTTGATGTTGTTGTGTAGTGAGTTATGTAGTAGTTACAACCTGGTTGGTGCTACAGTAACATTGGTGGTGTTGTGTAGTGAGTTATGTAGTAGTTATAACCTGGATGATGATACAGTAACATTGGTGGGTGGTGTTGCGAAGTGAGTTATGTAGTAGTTATAACCTGGTTGATGCTACAGCAGTAGAGTTAAGTTAGTGGTGCCATGGATTTGAAGTTTTGTTTTAGAATTTGTTTGCATTTCCAGCTGTTTTTTTGTGCATGCATGCACACACATGCACTCACAATGTGCGTGCATGCACACACACGCACTCACCATGTGCGTGCATGCACACACACGCACTCACCATGTGCATGCATGCACACACACTCACCATGTGCATCCATGCACACACCATGTGCATGCATGCACACACACCATGTGCATGCATGCACACACACTCACCATGTGCATGCATGCACACACATGTACTCACCATATGCATGCATGCATGCACACACATGCACTCACCATATGCATGCATGCACACACACGCACTCACCATGTCCATGCATGCACACACACGCACTCACCATGTGCATGCATGCACACGCACTCACCATGTGCATGCATGCACACATATGCACTCACCATATGCATGCATGCACACACATGCACTCAACATGTGCATGCATGCACACACACACCATGTGCATGCATGCACACACACACCATGTGCATGCATGCACACACACCATGTGCATGCATGCACACACATGCACTCACCATGTGCATACATGCACACACACACTCACCATGTGCATGCATGCACACACAATCACCATGTGCATGCATGCACACACACTCACCATGTGCATGCATGCAAACACTCACCATGTGCATGCATGCACACCCACGCACCATGTTCATGCATGCATGCACACACATGCACTCTGTACAGGCATGCACACATGAATACAAGCAACTACACACACACATACAAGCACCTGCACAAACACACATACAAGCACCTGCACAAACACACATACAAGCATCTGCACACACACACACACAAGCACCTACACACACACACACACACACACACACACACACACACACACACACACACACACACACACACACACACACACACACACACATGCAAGAACCTGCACACACATACAAGCACCTGCACACACACACACACACACACACACACACACACACACACACACACACACACACACACACACACACACACACATTCTCACTCTCTTTTACTGTGGTGTGGGTGGCATCCTGGGGGACAGGTTTGGAGGACCACAATATAAATAATAAGACAGTCCTTGATGCACTGGGTTATCCTGAGTGGCTCCTTCCAGGTTAAAAATCTGAACAAAATCTTACCTTTTATCATCTAGTTCTCCCAGGTGGTGGTGGTAGGAACTCTTCTATTGTCTCAAAGTCTTGAGTGCAGTTATAGTTGTTGTTGGTTAATGGGGACTTGTGTAATGTTTGAATATTTCTTCAGCCAGGTAATTTATGGTTTACTTCTGGAGGCCATTCTCTAGCTGGATTTTTTTTTTTTTTTTGGGGGGGGGGAGGACTAGAGATTTTTACTCATTGTTGCATATTTTAGTTTACTTGCAAACTTAAAATGTTCTGCTCTTCTCTCTCTCTTAATATATTAGCTTTTCAAAGTTTTTTCTTTACCACCTCCCTTCATTTGTTTATTAATTTCCATTTATTGGAATCTCTGATAAGCCTCTGACTTATCCTACTTTCTCTATTAGTTAACAGTTCTTTCTTACTTCAAATCAGTTTTCTTAGATTGTTAGTTGCCTTGTTTTGAAATATATTGTTTAATACAATGTGTGTGTATGATGCAGTACAGGCAGGTGCCACTTACATAGCAGGTCAGCTTCTGAGTTACTGCTTTAAAACAAAAATTTATTTAAAGTAAAACATGGCCTCTTTTTACTTTGAAATGCATCTAAAAGCCTGGTAATATGTTTACACTATCATATATTAAGTGAGCAATGGAGCTAGGTCTAAAAAGTGCATATACAGTACACACATTACTTGAAAATATTTTCATCATTAGCTTATAGTGAGTGGTGAATATGTTTATTGTAAGAAGTCTGAATACATGAAGAATGGGTGTAAGTGGACACCACTGTATTAGTGAAGCACTGTAGAGTGAAGCACTGTAGAGTGAAGCACTGTAGAGTGAAGCACTGTAGAGTGAAGCACTGTAGAGTGAAGCACTGTAGAGTGAAGCACTGTAGAGTGAAGCACTGTAGAGTGAAGCACTGTACAGTGAAGCACTGTACAGTGAAGCACTGTAGAGTGAAGCACTGTAGAGTGAAGCACTGTAGAGTGAAGCACTGTAGAGTGAAGCACTGTAGAGTGGGGCCTGTCTGTATTCTTCCTACATCTTTATATTCTCCCCCCCCCCTTCCCTTGCAATTTTTTTTAGTATGTAATTAGCTGTATAAGTTGACAGGAAAGAGGTGGAGCTCTAGCTCTTGGCATGTGTGTAATTGTGTGTAACTACAGGATCAAAGCTAAGCTTGTAGCATCCCATTATCAGTATTTAGTTGATTACAAAGTTCTTATATCTGCAGTGATTGAAGTATTTACTACCTCCTCTTTTAAAACATTCCATTGTTCTGCCACTTTGTAAAAATAAACTTTCTAGTGTCCTTGCATCAGCTCTTCTTTTTAATTAAGGTCTTTCCTTGTTCTGCTTGATGCTGTTAGGAAGTCCTGTTAATTTTTTGTATATTTTTATAAATGTCAATGTTATTGTTACATTTCCTCTGTTCTTTTTGTCCGTTAAGTAAGCATATCCAGTATCTTTAACTCTCTTTATAACTCATAATTTTTATTTCTTGTAGCTTTTCTTTGGATTTTTCCTAGCTTAACTTTTTCTTTCAGGTTGAGACATCATACTACTGCTGCTGAATATTCCAATTTTGGTCTAATGTCTTGTGTGAGCAGCTTTCTTAGTATTTCCCCATCCATGTATCTAAATGCTGTTTAAAAGTTTATGAATGTTACATAGAATATTACTGTTTGTTTCATTTATTTAATTTACTGGTAATACTCTTATTAATGTTGACTCCTAGCTCCCTAACTTTCTCTAATGCTTTCAGTATTTATTACATAATTTATACTCTTTGTGACCTTTTATTTATCTTTATTTCATTTTTATTACAACCAGTTTTTCACATTAAATTTCATCAGGCATTGCTTATTACACTTGCTGAATGTGTGTTGCTCTTCCTGTAAGAATGCAGTGATTTTTATAAATTATCTTACATATGATTTGTGCATCATCTGTGGGCATGTTCACGTTGTTAATTACTTTCCTGGCAGCAAGTCATTTATGTATATTACACACATTATCAGAGAGGTCACAGATCCCTGTGGCACTCTGATGCTGATGTTACCACAGGACCATATTTTAACTTATTGTTTAAACTTTCTTTTCCTATCATTGACCGCAGTAGTTGCCCCTTTTATATCTCCTATGTTTTGCACCTCCTGTGCTAGTCTTTCATGAGGAGCCTTAATGAGAGCATTCTTAAAATCCAAATAAATGCAATCCACCCATCCATATTTTTAAATAATTTCTCTAACTCTGTCATAGTGGCTAAATATAGTGAATACACACGAGTTTGCTGATTGCAAACCAACCTGTTTGCTAGTTAGCATTTCTTTGCTCTAAACTTGAGTGTATGTTTGTGTGTGAAAACATACGTATATATGTGCACATGTGCAAGCGAGAGTTTGTACCACTTTAAAACCTTTTAATCCCTTTTATGAACTTGAGGTAATTTTCAGAGAGTGAACTCAGAACACTTTTAAAAAGTGACTAACTGAAAATTGCCCAAACTCGATGGAAGAGTGTGGCATAGTAGTCTTTATAGTGATTATTTTGTATACCTGAAGTTAGCTGCTCTTGTCATTTTTTGCATATGCAAACTCTAGGACTTAATGTGTAAACTCTTGGACTTGGTGTGCAAGCTCTTTCTGATACAGTGTGCTAACACTCTTGGACTCAGTGTGTGAGCTCTTTCTGATACAGTGTGCTAACTCTCTCTCTGATACAGTGTGCTAACTCTCTCTCTGATACAGTGTGCTAACTCTCTCTCTGATACAGTGTGCTAACTCTCTGATACAGTATGCTAACTCTCTTTGGCACAGTGTGCTAACTCTCTTCGACTTAATGTGAGAGCTCTTCCTGATACAGTGTGTGTGCTCTTTCTGATACAGTGTGCTAACTTTCTCTTTGATACAGTGTGCTCTCTCTCTCTCTGATACAGTGTGCTAACTCTCTGATTAAGTGTGCTAACTCTTTGACACAGTGTGCTAGCTCTTTTTGACACAGTTTGCTAACTCTTTCATACAGTGTCCTAACTTTCTCTTTCATACACTGGCTAACTCTGTTGAACACAGTGTGCTAACTCTCGTACAGTGTGCTAGCTCTCTCGTACAGTGTGCTAACTCTGTCGGACTCAGTGTACTAGCTGTCTTGGACTCAGTGTATTAATTCTCTTCTACTCATTATGCTAGCACTGTTTGACTCATTATTGTATATGCGAGCCCACTTGGACTCATTATGCAAGCACTTTTGGACTCATTATTGTATATACTAGCCCTTTTGGTCTCATTGTATATACTAGCCCTCTTGGACTCATGCTAGTCCTCTTGTACTCATTAATATATGTGCTAGTCCTCTTGTACTCATTATTGTATATGCTAGTTCTCTTGGACTCATGCTAGCTCTCTTGAACTGTATGCTAGCTCTCTTGAATTGTATGATAGCTCTCTTGAACTATATGCTAACCCTCTTGGACTCTTGCTAGCATTCTTGAACTATATACTAGCCCTCTTGGACTCTTGCTAGCCCTCTTAAACTACATGCTAGCCCTCTTGAACTCTTGCTAGCCCTCTTGAACTATATGCTAGCCCTCTTGGTCTCTTGCTGGCCCTCTTGGCTCTTGCTAGCCCTCTTAAACTATTTGCTAGCCCTCTTGAACTATATGCCAGCCCTCTTGGACTCTTGCTAGCTCTCTTGGACTCTTGCTAGCCCTCTTGAACTATATGCTAGCCCTCTTGAACTATATGCTAGCCCTCTTGATCTCTTGCTAGACCTCTTGGATTCATGTTTGCACTGAACAACCCTTCATGTGAATCTTGTGTTGTAGGTTGTAAGTAACATTCCAAAGAATAATTTTAATTAAAAACTAGGTTATGTATTCAGCTTTTCACTAATGTCACATTTTGTTCTCAGCTAAGGGAAGTAAATTTTGTTTTTAGTTTTAAATGTTACATAATAGTAATAAGAGATTCATTATTTATAATGTGAAGTTGCGTTAGTATGTGCCATTGGTGAAAGAGGGCAGAAATAATGCTTAGGCTGTCTGTATGGCTTGTTATAGTCTCATGTTGAGGCTGAGAATATGTGCAGTAAGGTCATCAGTGTGGCTGAACAAACTTGTGCTGGAATGTAGACTAGTTTGTGTACTTGCCTTCACTCTTCCTAATATAATGCTGGGCTTAGCTTGGGTTGCAAGTTAGATCTGAGAAAGAGTTTAGTACTAAGGAGTTGAACACTACCTGCTGCATAATTATGATTCATTGTTATTACAGTTTATGATAATAGTGAAGAGTTTATAAATTTTAAAAATAAATGGGCTTTGATTATTTTTTGTAGATACAAATATGCATGAGATATATATAGATATTGTTGAACATGCCAAATATAGCATTTATAAACAACATCTAATGTAAGTTTAGTGCAGAGTTATCTACAGCATTTTAATCATAAGATCTGAAAAATTTAAGTAAATTATTAAATGACTAGCGAATATCTACTCATATATTTGCAACAAAGTTGTCATGTTTGTTTAATACGTGAGATTGTAGAAGTGAAATTTTAGTTTGACATATGTTACATCACAAGGAAGTGTTTGTGTCATGTATACAAGGAATTGTTTGTGTCATGTATACAAGGAATTGTTTGTGTCATGTATACAAGGAAGTGTTTGTGTCATGTATACAAGGAATTGTTTGTGTCATGTATACAAGGAAGTGTTTGTGTCATGTATACAAGGAATTGTTTGTGTCATGTATACAAGGAAGTGTTTGTGTCATGTATACAAGGAAGTGTTTGTGTCATGTATACAAGGAAGTGTTTGTGTCATGTATACAAGGAAGTGTTTGTCATGGATACACAACAATTCTACAAATTGTTGAAAATCGTATAAAATATTGACAAGTTGAAGATTAAGATACATGTGCAACACTTGGGTATCTTTATTGATGAAATGTTTCACCTGCACAGTAGACATCTTCAGTAAAATACAGAGAGGGCAGTAGTAATGAAATAAAGATGATGTAATCAGTGAGTCCCTCAGCCTGGAGAAGAGTTCAGCTCCATGGAACTGTTGTACATGTCTCTTAATTTTTAACTAGAATTCTTCTGAGCTCATTATATCCAATATTGTCTGTGTTAATAAAATTATGTAGTTACATCATCACTGTATCTTACACAATATGATTTTGATATTTTTTAATGTATTATGATACAGAAAAGCTACAACTTAATATATTATTTTTTATAAAGAATTAAATGCATTTGTCAGCATTTATTTAGAGTTTTACTTAAATAGCTTTTGATTTATATCAAATTTATTTAGATTAACCCTTAAACTGTCCAAACGTAGATCTGCGTTCGCTTACATAGCGCTCTGAACGTAGATCTACATTTTTTTTGCATTCTTATGGAGAAAATCAAGGTCAGAGTGGTATGCGTGCAAGCGTAAATCTATGTTTGGACAGTTTAAGGGTTAAAGACAACAGGTATTTTTTTAATTATTTTTTTAGCTGAACTTAGAGCTGAGGAGGAAAAATCTTAAGTGGTTCATAATAATTATTTTGTAAAGTTAGGTTAAAAATTCTCCAAATATCTTAGACAATATTACTATGTGAATTCCTTTAGCAATTACTATAATATTTGAATATTTATTACATCAGTGTATAAACAAAACATCTTATATAAACCACTTAATTTAAGTGCTCATTGAGTCAGCTGCATTCAGTAAAGTCTGTAATTGTGCACAGCTACAAGCAACTGAATAAACCCTTAGCAAATTATTCTTTGTTTAATATAACATAAATCTTACCCACCACATTATTAATATTAATATTATTATTATTATTATTATTATTGTATATATTGCTCTTAAGGAGAGATGCTGCAGCTGACAGCTAAAATATAGCATTAAACTAAACTACAGTAGGGCCCTACTTATACAGCAGGTTAGGCTGCAGGTTGCCACTGTAATGTGAGTCTCCCTCCCCCGCTGTATAGCCCTTGTGGCTTAGCGCTTCTTTTTGGTAATAATAATAATAATAATCTCTCCCTCCCTCCCCCCTCCCACCCCCTGCCCCACCCCCCACCTCCTCCCTCACCCCACCCCTCCCTCCCTCACCCCACCCCTCCCTCCCTCCCCCCACCCCTCCCTCCCTCTCCCCACCCCTCCCTCCCTCCCCCCACCCCTCCCTCCCCCACCCCCTCCCTCCCCCCACCACCTCCCTCCCTCCTGTCCCCCTCCCTCCCCCTCCCCCTCCCCTCCCCTCTCCTCCCTTCCCTCCCCATCCCTCCTCATCCCTCCTCATCCCTCCTCATCTCTCCATCCCCCTCCCTCCATCCTCCTCCCTCCCTCCCCCCATCCTCCTCTCCCTCTCCCCATCCTCCTCCCTCCCTCTCCCCATCCTCCTCCCTCCCTCTCCCCATCCTCCTCCCTCCCTCTCCCCATCCTCCTCCCTCCCTCCCCCCATCCTCCTCCCCATCCTCCTCCCCATCCTCCTCCCCATCCTCTTCCCCATCCTCCTCCTCCTCCTCTTCCTCTTCCTCCTCCTCCTCTTCCTCCTCTTCCTCCCCTCCTCCTCCTCCCCCCTCCTCCTCCTCCTCCTCCTCCTCCTCCCTCCTCCTCCTCCTCCTCCTCCTCCTCCTCCTCCTCCCTCCTCCTCCTCCTCCTCCTCCTCCTCCTCCTCCTCCTTCCCCCCTCCTCCTCCTCCTCCCTCCTCCTCCCCTCCCCCTCCTCCTCCTCCCTCCTCCTCCTCCTCCTCCTTCCCTCCTCCTCCTCTCCCCTCCCTCCTCCTCCTCTCCCTCCTCCTTCCTCCTCCTCCTCCCTCCTCCCTCCTCCCTCCTCCTCTCCCTCCTCTCCTCCCTCCTCCCTCCTCCCTCCCTCCTCCTCCTCCCTCCTCCTCCTCCTCCTCCCTCCCCTCCTCCTCCTCCCTCCCCTCCTCCTCCTCCTCCCTCCTCCTCCTCCTCCCTCCTCCTCCTCCTCCCTCCTCCTCCTCCTCCCCTCCTCCTCCTCCTCCCTCCTCTCCCTCCTCCTCCTCCCCTCCTCCCTCCTCTCCTCCTCCTCCTCCCTCCTCTCCTCCTCCCTCCTCCTCCTCCTCCTCCTCCCTCCTCCTCCTCCCTCCTCCTCCTCCCTCCTCCACCTCCTCCCTCCTCCTCCTCCCTCCTCCTCCTCCCCTCCTCCTCCTCCTCCTCCCTCCTCCTCCCTCCTCCTCCTCCCTCCTCCTCCTCCCTCCTCCTCCTCTCCTCCTCCTCCTCCTCCTCCTCCCCTCCTCCTCCTCCTCCTCCTCCTCCTCCTTCCCCCCCTCCTCCTCCTCTCCCCTCCTCCTCTCCCCTCCCCCTCCTCCTCCCCTCCCCCCTCCTCCTCCCCCTCCTCCTCCCTCTCCCCTCCCTCCTCCCCCCTCCCCCCTCCTCCTTCTCCTCCTCCTCCTCCTCCATATAAATGCTTGATGTGTTTACACTATCATATATTAAGCTAGGCATAAAAAATCAATAAAATAGTAAAATGCATGTAGAGTGGAACCTCGACTTGTGAAATTAATCCGTTCTGTGACCCTGTTTGTATCCTGATTTGTTCATATGCTGAATCAGTGTTCCTCATTTAAATTAACTGAAATGGCATTAATCCATTCCAGCAGAATTCCTGCTCTCAGAAGGCATGACAGAATACTTCAATATGATGCTAAGATCAACTCGACGGTTGGTTTATTTATCTGTCACTATTTATCTAATTTCAACATCACTCATGGAATGCACAACAGGTGCATCATTGTCAGTGTTCAGCATTTCTTCGCTAACTCCATTAGCACATAGTCAGGATGAGTAAATAGAACGTTCAGTGCTTATTGCTTGGGTACGTTTATTCTGTTAGTGGGTTGGATTTGTGCAGGACCTGCCAAGTATGGGCCAACAGGCCTAATGCAGTGTTCCTCCTTTCTTATTATGTACTCAGGACACCAATCATACCCATCCCCTCCCACTCATATATTTGTCCAATTTCTTTTTAAAGCTACCCAAGGTCTTATAGAAGCTAAAACATTGGGTAGTTTCAAATTTAGGTTGAGATTAATTGCAAGTGCGGGTAGCAGTGATGTTTTTGCCATAACTGAGATGTGGTTTAATATGAAAAATCGGGACATGTCTGCTGAATGCCACATTCAGGGTTTTAAATTATTCCAAGTAGACAGAAGTACAGTGGAACCCCTGCTTGTGAGTTTAATCCATTCTGTGACCTTGCTCGCATCTGGATTTGCTCATTTGCAGAGTCAATTTTCCTCATTTAAATGAATTGAAATGCAATTAATCTGTTCTGACTCTCAGGAGGCATGACAAGATATGTACTTCAATATTTCGCTAATATTAACTCTATGGCTTATTTATCTATCACAATTCATCTAATATGACATAACAAATGATATAAATAACATAGAAACCTGATATATGCTCTAGAATGAATATAATATGTCATTCACGTAGTGGTATCGGCGGTGTCGGTGGCAGATGAGAGTTTGTCTGGAGACAGGACAAAATACTTCTTGAATATTTCGCTAATATCAACTCTTTGACTTATTTATCTATCTCAATTTATCTAATATGACATAATAAACAATATAAATAACAAAGAAACCTGATATATACTCTAGAATGAAAAAAATATGTCATTTTGTGACAATTGGAGGCAGCCACAACCGCTCCCACATTGTTGTGGTAATCACTGCTATCTAGTGATGGCCTTTTGAGGCAATCTTATTATTATATTTGTTATACAGTAAATTATTATTATACATGTATTATTATTATACATATTATTATTTTTATTATTATTGCAGTAGGGCCCCACTTATACGGCGGGTTAGGTTCCAGGCTGTCGCCGGAAAGCAGACATCGCCGGAAGGCGGAACGCCATTTTTTCCATTTATAAATGCATATAAATGCCAGACAACAAGTTTACACTAAATTATATTAAGTTAGTAATAGAACTAGGCATTAAAAACACAAAGTAAAATACAGTCACAGTAAATTCATTACTTTTCTTAAAGTATTTGTAATCTTAATGTAGGGAGAGAGGTGAGTAGTACTTATTTGTAGGAAGTCAGGTGCAGGTAGCCCAGGTGTAGGTAGCCCTGGCTCCCCGTCTCATACTTAATATACGATATTTAAAACATCTCAGAGAGGTAAAATACACATACAGTACTCATTATTTACCTTAAAATATGTGTAATCTTAATATAGGAAGAGAGGTGAGTAGTATTTATTTGTAGAAAGTCAGTGTAGGTAGCCGGTAGGTGTAGCCCGCCTGGGCTACACCTACTGGCTACCTACACTGTGGCACAGAGCCATATTGTTAACATTGACATGCCTTGTTCACTGAATTTAATAATTTCTAACAACTACCTTCAGATGCCATCATAAACGAAGGTAGAAGTAATGAATAATTCATGCCGAAAATTGTAAACAAAAGCGGAGTGAGGGAGTGGCTGGGCCAAACGCAGATTTATACACGTTTTCTCTGATGGCTGAGCAGAGAAAACGTAATGTTGTCCCTCCACCCGGCTACCACACAGGTCCACAAGTATTATCAGAGCACACATAAAGTATGCAATAAATGCCAGACAAGAAGTTTACACTAACTTATATTAAGTTAGCAATATAAAAAGGCATTAAAAACACAATAAAAGGTAAGATACACACAGAGTACACTTATTACTTACCTTAAAATATTAATATTAATAATGTGTGAGAGGTGAGTGGCAGGGTGTTTATTGAATAAAATCAGAATGGCACACCATCATCCTCTAACTTGGCACTTAAAGCAAGAGGCTTACGACTTCTCTTTTTATCACAGCTAACCTTAGACGCCATCATCAATGAGAGCCAACTAGTTAACGAAAGAGTAAACGAGAGAGAGAACGAGATACAGAGTTGAGACAATCTAAGAACACAAACTGAACAGGTAGTGGACGATCACTTGGTCAGGCGAAATAAATGCGTTAATATGTGTCTACTTTTAGTTCATTCACGTCCATTTGTAAGAGTTTGTAAAACATTTACCTCAATATTTTTTTATTTTAATAATAATTACCTCACAATACAAATACTCTTACATTGTGTACAAGTTAGTTCAGAATAAACAAACTGCAACACACCATTATTAGAGTGAATGAAGATAATAATAATAATAATAATAATAAATAATAATTATTATTATTATTATTATTATTATTATTATTAATAATAATATTAAATAATATTATTATTATTAATAATAATAAATATTAATTATTATTATTATTAATAATAATAATGAATAATATTATTATTATTATTTATTATAAAAAGCACTAAACCCACAAGGGTCGTGAATTGCTATACATAGAGTAAAGGCATACGAAAAGAATATTTTTCTACAGTTACCCCCCAGTGTTTGACTAGAGAAAACGTAATTCTTCCGACACTACCTACATAGCTGCTTTGTAAACAAATCCTATATTTACATCAGTTTTTATTCAGAGTGTATGTATCATGTTTATATGCTATGTAATGGGTTTCATATATAATTTTGAGGAAAATATCATAGATGGATTAATGAAAATGCCTATATTGATGTAAAATAAGACATTTAGTGTGCCCAAGAGTGATTATCATTACGTAGTATTGGCGTCATGAGTAGAGAGAGACTTAGCGATTTTAATGTGTACCTGCACACCAGCACAGTGTGTAAGTATACAGTGGACCCCCGCATAACAATATTAATCCGTTCATGAGAGCTCATTGTTATGCGAAATTA